TTGCCAAAAACACATTAAAGTATTAGCTTCAAGCTTCAAAATTTTTTCCAATTTTTTTTTTTAATGATTTTTAGTCTAGTTTCAAGTTTGAAAATTAGGCTGTAGTGTATAATACAATGGTTTAATTGATTGCACTTAATATTTTAAATAATAATTTTTTTAATGCGTTATTACTTTAAAGATTCTATGATGGGTATCGAGTTAAAACCAAATAAATACAACGAATATGCAAAAGCAATTGACAGGTATGTAACATTTTTTAAATTCTAAATGCTCATAATTGACGTAAATTATGTAACACCAATAAGAATAAATCTAATTGAAGAAAATTTTTATATTTTTCTGAAAAACCACATTTGTATGAAAAGTCTTGGTATGTCAATCCATTTAAAGTTAATTTTTGTTATTATAAATAAATTAAATAATTTACCATGTCACTGAAAAAACAATATGTTCTTTTTACAGAAGACATTTAGTAACATGAAAATTTAAGAGAATCTGAAACATTGCGTAACTATGAAGACGTTCTACCAGTACAATATTTTTTATTGAAACTAAAAAATGATTTATTATCTAAATTTTATAAACATCATATATTGTTATCTTACGTAAAAACATAAAATACGTATCTTGCTCTTTTTTCTCTATCTCTCTCTATCTCTTTTTTCATCAGAATCCACATCAAGAAATATGGTAGTGCCTTGCACACGGGCAGCGCGAAGACACTACCGTGTATATTTACGCGACGACAAAAATTATTTTCGTTGGATTTGACAAATCTTTCTGACTTTCCTATTTTTGACACTAGAGGGCAGTAATAATAGACCCAGCAGCAAGGTTGGGAACGTATCATTTAGAGAGGGATATTTTAAGTTCACGTTACGTTACTTTGCGTCCCGTCGCGTCTCGTTACGTTAAATTCATCGTAATCCCGGCTTAAGATATTTTTTTTTACAGACTGCATATTTAATAAGTTTGTTTTTGGGACTAAACTAGAGCGTACATACAGTGTACACTTGTGTGTTATACTTAAAATTAAATCAATACATATTTAAAGTTTGACGAAAACGAGATAGAAAGATTTAATGCAGTCCAATGCAGCGAAAAATGATAGGCCTAATAATACAACTGATAAACTAATTCCAAATAAAGTAAACAAACACAAGAATTATATGGTTTTACACTGTAATACACTGAAAGAAAATATTTAGATTCAAGAAAATATTTATTTATATACTGCCAATAACTTATTTATTTAATATAATCACGTAATATTTATTTAGAATTAGATATTTTTACTTATAAATTAAGCAAAAATATCTAATTTTAAATAAATATGTGTATTATATTAAGTAAATAACTATATGGTTTAAAAAAATATATTTGTAACCATATAAATTTGTAAATATATATAACTAGTAATTCAACTAATTTCTTAAGAAATAAGAAAATGATTTGACGTTAGAGTTAATGTCAGAGTTATCATACATAGTTTGATACGTATCCTACGTATGAATTAAGTTGTAAATAACATAATATAATCTAATTGAAGTAAGAAGCAAAATATATATCTGTAAATTATCATTTATTATTATTTGCTACTGCCAAGAACTTTTTAGAAAATGCTTCAGTATGTTCAGAACTATTAAAAAAATATTTTAGATAAACCAGAACTCCGACATTTCGTACAGCATATAAATCTAATCTCTCTAGTACCCGGCGTTCGGGCGGTATTAATTTATAAAAAAATCATACAACATTACTAGTGTCGAGAACTCTTTAGAAAATGCTTCAGTATGCTCAGAATTATTCGAGAAATATTTTACATAAACAAGAACTTCAACATTTTGTATAGCATATTACTCTATTCTCTCTAAGTACGCGGCGTTCGCGCAATGTGAATTTATTAAAAAATTATATAATATTGCTAGTGTCGGGAACTTTTTAGAAAATGCTTCAGTATGTTCACAACTATTTGACAAATGTTTTATAAAAACCGGAACTCCGAGATTTCGTCGACATCTCACTAAACTAGCAGATAATTTTTTTAATGGACTTTTTGTGGCAAGATCACCAGAATTATCACTAAAAACTATCAAGAACTATAGAACTCGACTATATGCGAGAAGAACTCCTTTTTATTTTTTATCTGCTAGAAAATGGTCTGCTACAGGAAGTTAACAGATCATTTTTTCGATCGACTGTTTTTTGGGTAAAATCATCAGAACTATTACTAAAAAGTATCAGAAACTATAGAACTCAACTGCATACGACAAGAACTGCCTTTTATTTTTGATCTGCTGGAAAATGATATGCCAACTTCACCGACATTATTTATAGTGTGTGTCTATCTTATTTTTGAAGAACTAAGGCAAGAATTATCTTATTTTATGCAACATAATTTTTATCATACATGGTTAAATTTGAAAACATAAACTTTAATATAATTATATAATTTAAAATACTTTTTAAACAATTTAAAAGAAATAATGATTAGTGAGGGTAGTTTGAAAAATATACCAGCAGTTTTGAAAAATTAAGATACACTATTGTAAAGTATATGCGTCTTGCTCCGTGCGTACTTGGCGCGAAACACTACTGTGTCTCTTAATTTGAAATTATAAAAGTTTTGGTTTAATTATTTAAAAAAAGAATTTTTTATTTAGATAATATTTGTTTAGAAATATAAAAACCGATTTTTTTCAAGAGAGTGTTCTTATCTCTAAATCCGTTTTTTAACACCAACAAAAAAATTATTTTGTTATTAGAATCTACTACTCTACAATTATTTGCAAAGTTTTACATTAATTATTTCAAATTTTTGCGTTGCCGAATGTCCTTTATCAGTTCTATAAGGTAGGTAGTCCAACAATGGATCATTAATACACTGTGAACAGTGTGAACCATTATTACAAAATCCAATCCAA